GTGGGAGGATCGCTTGAGCCCAGGAGTTCAAGACCAGCCTGGGCAACGTAGCAAGACCCCGTCTCTACAAAACCTTTTTTTAAGTGAGCCAGGTGTGGTGGTATGCACCTGTAGTCCCAGCTACTCAGGAGGCTGAGATGGGAGGATCACCTGAGCCCAGGAGATCAAGGCTGCAGTAAGCCAGGATCGCCCCACTGCACACTCCAGCCTGGGTGACAGAGCCAGACCCTGTCTTAAAATTAAAAAAAAACAAAAAGACTCCAACCTTGGTTTCTGCCTGTGGTGGCCCCGGCCTGCTCCTCCCTCCTGGTCCCAGAGTCTGGGCTCTGCCCATGCAGCCTGGGTTGGGAGTCCCAGCCACCCCACACCTTGCTCCCCTTTCCTTCGGTCCCCCAGCACTGTCCTGAGGCACCTAGAGGCCCGGTGACATGGGGTGCTTCCCTCCTGTCCACAGGCAATGTCCCCTGATGGGGAGGCCATCGTCACTGGTGCTGGAGACGAGACCCTGAGGTTCTGGAATGTCTTTAGCAAAACCCGTTCGACAAAGGTAAAGTGGGTCGGTATCAGCGCCAGTCGCCCCCGCCCCAGCCTGTCCCAAGGTCGTCCCTATCCCCACTGTCCTCTGGCGTACCCTCCCCTGGGTCCCCCCACCTCCGAGCTTCCCTTACGTCAAATTCCGGGTCATGTGTCAGGGGCAGTGTGGCAGGCCGAGGCTGGACCGGCACCTCCCAGCCCCTCAGGACCAAGCCCCACAGCCTCAGGTTCCCTCCAGGCAGCTTCCTCCCTAGGGTTGCGGCTCAGCGCGTCTCCCACCCCCATGTGTCTGCAGGAGTCTGTGTCTGTGCTCAACCTCTTCACCAGGATCCGGTAAACCTACCGGGCAGGACCGCACCACGCCAGCCATCGTCGGAGGACCCCAGCTCCTCAGCTTGCATGGACCCTGCCTTCCCAGCGCTTGTCCCCCGAGGAAGGCGGCCGGGCGGGCGGGGAGCTGGGCCTGGAGGATCCTGGAGTCTCATTAAATGCCTGATTGTGAACCATGTCCACCAGTATCTGGGGTGGGCACGTAGTCGGGGACCCTCAGCATCAGGGGCTCTGTCTCCCTTCCTAAAGGGCAAGAACCACATTGGACGGTCCCGGCTCAGACCGTCTCTCAGAGCGATGGACGCCCCCTGGGACCCTCACTGCCTCCATCTGTTCATCACCTGCCCACCGGCGCCGCTTGCTCTTCCTGGAACTGCCCACGTCTGCACGGAACAGACCACCAGATACCAGGGCTGATTGGTGGGGGCCTCAGACCCCCGGTTGCCCGTTCACGGCTGCAGTCCCACTATGTCAAACCCAAGGCCAGACCAAGACGTGTAGGCCTGGGCAGATGGCTCAGGGCCACTGGCGGAACTGGCCTGTGGATCCAGGAGACAGTCCCCGCCTGGGCTTCACGGCGTCCTTGCAGCCACCTCTGCTGTCACCGCTCGAAGTAGCAGTGTCTCTGGAAGCATCTGTGTCACGGCCGTCACCTGGCAGGCAGTGGGCTTCAGATGGGCCTGTGCATCCTGGCTGAGCATCACCCTCACACCGGAGGAGGACGTCTGCTCTGGACTGGTCACCCCAGGAGAACTGAACACGGGCCTGCTCACTGCCCTGGCTGGAGAGGAGCACAACAGATGCCACGTCTTCGTGCATTCTTCAACACGTGCCCTCACCGGGCCAGCGTCCCCCTTCCCCGCGCAAGACTTGCGTCCCCCGTGCCTGCTGGGTGGCTGGGTCCTGTGGAGGCCAGCGGCGGTGTGGCCCCCGCTCCCAGGCTGCCTGTGTCTTCGCCTGTCCTGTCCACCAGCGCCAGCGGCCATGGGGAAGCCAAGGAGACCCAAGGGGTCCAGGAGGTGGGCGCCCTCCGTCCTTCCAGAAGCTTCCCGGGCTCCTCTGTTCCTCTGTCTCATGCTCCCAAGCCGCACAGCAGGCGGGGAGGGAGGCAAGGCTGGGGAGTGGGGCCTGAGCTGAGCACTGCCTGCCCCCCCGCCCCTTCCCATTTCACTGGTGGAGACGTGGAGAGGGTGGGGCGGGCTGAAGTCCGAGGGTCCCACCTGCCACCCTGCTGTGCTTGGGAACCCCCACTCCCCACATCCCAATAGCCTGGTGTCCCAGTGGGGTTGGTGTGCATGTGTACATATGTATTTGTGACTTTTCTTTGGCTTTGTTTTGTGTTTTTGTTGAGCAGTCCTGGAAATGTTTGAGGCTAGACGGGGAGGGGCCGGGACCCACCCACTGCTCCTGGGAGACGGGGTCCTGGTTTTAAAGCCCCGTCGTTTCAAGCGGGTGGATCCGCCACATTCGCTGGAGAGACTTTCCCCACCTCTGTCTGGCGGGTGTGAACTCGTCGCCGCCCGCCCGCGCAGGGGGAGCCGGTGCACGTGGCAATGTGGATTTTCCGTGGTCAAGGTCTTACTGTTTCGGGGTTTTTAAATAGGAAAACCAACCCTGCCTTCGCCCGTGCCCGCCCTGCCCACAGCAGCCCCTGCAGTGCCAAAGAGCCGCCTTGTCGCTGTGGGCCTCGGGGCGTGGCCGGCTCAGGGCACAGCCTACGGGGGCCTCCAAGGCTCCTCCTGGGACCGGAACCGCCGCGGGGCCAGAGGGAAGGGGCGAGATTTGTGTTGGGGCTGGTTCTGCCCATGCTAGGGGAGCGGGGGACCTCCCAGGACAGATCAGCCTTTCTCATGTAATGCAGTGACGCTGTCATTAAACGCGTGGATTCATGTGTGGCCGGGGCTGGCTGGCTCTAGGTCCCTGGCTCGGGTGGGGTCACACGGTCCTGCCCTAGAGTCCCCATCTGGCCCTGGAGCTGCAGAAGCAACTTCTGAGGGGCTTCCCAGCCCTGCATTTCACAGATGGGGAACTCAGCCCTCGAAGGCCGCAGAGACCCCTCCCGGGCCGGTCTGCCGGGTCGCCGGCCACAGTCTTGCGGGGCCAAGGACTGGACTCCAGGCGAGTCCCTGCGCTCCAGCCGGACGGCCCTGTTCCCGGGAGGAGGTGCTCGCCCGACCCCATCAGGGAGGGAGGGTGGGCGCAGCAGGGCTGAGCTCACCCCCAGGGCTGGCCAGACGGGACCAGGAGGGACAGAGCAAGTGGGGTGAAGGCCGTGGTGGGAGGGGCCCATGATGACGGGCCAGGGCTTGTGTAGAAATGGGGGCTTTGGTTCCCCACAGCCCAGGACAGCCGAGAAGGGGTGGAGGGGCCCCAGGGGAGCGTCCGTCAGGCCTTGCGGGGCACGGGGGCCGCTCAGCAGTGCTGGGGCAGGTGCCTCTGCTGTCAACTCCACCCGACAGACCAAGGCCAGTGGGTCCATCACTTCCTGGGGCGACCCTGGCCATGGCTGGGAGATGCCCGAGTGGAGCGGGAGACTGATGAAGGGCCCCGCAGGGCGGTTTGCGACTTTTCTGTTGATCCTGGAACGTAGGTGGTGCAGTGAGAGGGAAAGAGAATTGAAAAACTCAGGCTGCCGCAGGTTCTGCAATGAGAGGGGCAGGAGGCAGGAGCCAGGAGCCTGGCCCAGGGGATGCTGGTGCCTCCCCGGGGTCTGGGAGAACAGGAGGAATGGCTGGGAAGTGGTTGGGGGAGCCAGGAGGCCTGGGGGCCAGGGGCTGCAAGGGAGGCTGTCGGGGGTGCCTGGCAGCCAGGAGGCCCCAGGTAGTTTTGAGGCTCGTTCTTGTACGGTGCCTGAGAAGACGGTGAAGGAGCCGGGGCAGGGCCCGTCCTGGGCATTGGAGATGATGAAACTGAGCAGACCTGGCCCATGTGGAGCTGGTCTGGGGGGCACAGCCCAGAGACAGGAGCTTATGAGGAAGTGAGACGGCGGCGTCACAAGCGTGCGGAAGGGGCCCTGGGAAAGGGCGGCCTTGGATCAGGGGCTCACTGCAAGCCTGGCATTTCAGCCAGGGCTAGAGGAGGCAGGGACACCTGGGTGAGAGGCAGAGGGCACAGCCATGCAAAGGCCCTGGGACAGGACGGCACCTGGCATGCGGGAGGAACAGAGTGAGGAGAGGAGGGCAGGGCCTTGTGGGCCTCAGGGAGGACTTTGGCACTTACCCCGAGGGAGTGGGGCCCCTAGGTGCCTGTCCAGATGGGAAAGGCAGGGTCGGCTCCGTGGGAACCCGACGCAGGGGCAGGGGAAGCCGAGACCAGGGTGTAAGCTCTGCCCCCACCCAAGCCGGATTCTACCCGAGGCCAGGGCCAGCCAGAGGAGGCAAGGCAGGAGGTTCCTGGATGTTTGTTTGGTTTTATGTTGTTGTTTTTTTTTTTAATTGTGGTAAAATACAAAATCTACCATCTTACAGTGAGGTGGCGTTCAGTACCTTCACCACGCTGTGCAGCCACCACCTCCGATTCCAGAACATTCTCATCACCCAGAAGGCAGTCCTGTCCCTGTTACATCACCTAGTCACCCCCAGGTCCGCCTCCCCAGTTCCAGCACCCACGAACCCTCTCCCTGCCTCTGTGGATCAGCCTGTCCTGGACATTTCACAGAAGTGGGATCACAGCATGCCCTTCTGTGTCTGGCTCAGAGGAGCGTGACATCCTCAAGGTGCATCCACACTGTGGCCTGGGTCAGAGCTTCGCACCTCCTGGTGGCTGAATCTCATTCCAGCACATGGCCGGCACCCTCCCCCTCACTGGGTGTTCAGTGTTCTCCGCCTCGGGTTGTCACAAATTGTGCTGCTGTGAGGCCCCGTGTGCGGGTCTCATCCTGGGTGTGTTTTACAAACGGACTGGGTGTGAGCGGGTGAGGAGAGAGGAGCTGGGGTGCCAGGTGCCTGCGCCCCTGACTGGGCACCGCCTCTTGCGATCGAAGGTGCAAGGGGGAGACAGAAGCCCCTCAAGGGGGTGTGGATATGGAGAGGCCAGGCTCCAGGTGGGGCGTGCGTAGAGCTGGGGGCTCACAGTCATGGACCCCACCTGGCAGTGGCCCTGGCCCTGCCCACCCACACTGTGTCACCCCCCCCCCCGTTGTTAAATACTCAGAACGACTCTCCAGCCCTCCCCTCGCTTGAGGCCACCTCACCCCGCCCGCTGCTGGGAGGAGGGAGCCGTCAGCGCTGTTGCCGGAACACTGGGTGGCCTTTATGCTGTCAACAGTGGCCTCGGAGGCCTTCCTGGCAGGAGCGCCAGGGACCCAGGCAGACATGCAAACCCTGAGGCAAGAGGCTGCCCAGCCCTATGTCCCCTCGGGGACCCTCGAGGCCAGCTTCCCAGCACCTCTCTACAGGTGAGCCCCTCCCTCCCTGGGTGTCAGGTTACATGGGGTTTGGTTTGGGGTCTTGCATGTGTCACTCATTATTCCTAAAAGGCTCACGTGTGTGAAGTCCCCTCCAGCTCTTCCTGTTCCCCTCCAGCCTGCGGCCGCTCACTGTGAGGGCCACAGACCTGGAGACAGGCCGAGAACAAATGTGTCTGTGGCCACTTCCAAGGGCTGCAAACGCACTGGGAGCTTCGGCCGCAGAAATATCCACCCTCTGAAATCCAGGCGTGTGCGGGCCTGGGCCCTTCTGTGGCTGAGGGAGTCTGTCCCACACCTCTCACAGCCCGTGGTGGCTCTGGGCAACCCCAGGCACTCCTTGGCCCCCAGTCTCTGCTTCTGTCTTCACCCGGCCTTCCTGTCTGCATCCAAGTTTCCTTCTCCTTATAAGGGCGTCAGGCACTGGATTCGGGGCCATCCTAACACGGGGTGACCTCATCTTAGCTGCATCTGCTAAAACCATTTCCAAACAAGGCCATGTCCGGAGGTTCTCAGCAGATGCAATTTTGGAGGTATGCAAGTCACCCCAATACAGTGTCTATTAGCAATTGTTTAAACAATTATGGAATACTATGCAGCCATGAAAAAGAAGAGTGAAAGCCCTTTGCTCTATTTCCAAGGAAACCACCAACAAAACGAGCTGGGCATGGTGGCACACACCTGTAGTCTCCAGCTACTCAGGAGGCGTGGAGACAGGAGATCCTTGAACTTCGGAGACGGAGGTTGCAGTGAGCACAAGATTGTGCCAACTTCAACCCTTACTCTGGCAACAGAGTGAGCACTCTGTGAAAAACAAACGGCCGGGCCGCGGTGGCTCAAGTGTAACCCCAGCACTTTGGGAGGCCGAGAACGGGGGATCACGAGGTCCAGGAGATCGAGACCATCCTGGCTAACACGGTGAAAGACCCGTCTCCTACTAAAAAAAACAAAAAACTAGCCGGCGCGAGGTGCGGGCGCCTGTAGTCCCAGCTACTCGGAGGCTGAGGCAGGAAGAATGGCGTAAACCCGGGAGGCGGAGCTTGCAGTGAGCTGAGATCCGCGCCACTGCCTCCAGCCTGGGCGACGACCGGTGAGACTCCGTCTCAAAAAAAAAAAAAAAAAAAAAAGAAAAACCACCAACCAACCAAAACAACTGGGTCTGCACTATGTTTGCCCAGGCCTGGTCCTTGAACTCCCTGGGCTCGAAGTGATCCTACTGTCCTCAGGCCTCCAAGTGTGGGATCAGTGGGCCACCATGCCCAGCCACCATGCTGGTTTAATTTCTCTTCCTTGGGGCCGGGTGCGGTGGCTCAAGCCTGTAATCCCAGCAGCCTCTTGGGAGGCCGAGGTGGGTGATACGAGTCAGGAGATCGAGACCATCCCTGGGGCCCTAACAATGGTGAAACGCCCGTCTCTACTAAGAAAATACAAAAAACTACCGGGCGTCGGCGTGCCCCGGGCGCCTGTAGTCCAGCGACCTCGGAGCCTGCACACAGGAGCAATCGGCTGAACTGGGAGGCGGAGCTTCGCAGTGAGGCCGAGATCCGGGGC